CAGCGGGGCGGTGGCCGAGTGACCCTCTCATTGAACCTCGGAACGCGTACACAACGATGTGTCCGTCACAGGCTGGGTAGGAGGTGTGCGACTGCGAGCTAGGCGTCCCACCGACGGTGGTATCGGCGCCGACGGCGGCAGCGGCGGTCTAGACGGCATCATAGCCTGGTCGGGCGGGCAGTCGGGTTGCCGCTAAACTCGGTCCTCCTTTTGACAGACGTGACGTGGACGGCACACGCACGTCAGGCCAAGCCGCCATCACCGAAGCAAGGGGGGGGGGGGGGGGGGGCGCGACTGGCCCGGATGATTGTTGAGTGTTTTCGACATTACCCGACAGCAGTATAACGCAACGCTGGAGGAGGGGGGATATGCGAAAGATATGGTGCACGCGTGCGTGCGTGCCCAGCTCATACCCCTCTCGGGCAGTTGAGCCCTTAACGATTGCACCACCCCGTCAGCGTTTTTTCTCACCTGACTCCGTTGCGACCCACTTCTGCCGCCGCGGACGGGGCTCTTTTTCATGGCGTACGATAGCTGGATAAAGTCCGGCCTCAGCACGCATCCCAACCCCTCGCTCCCCCCGACCCGTCCTCCTCCCCCCACCCCGCCGCCGCCACCCGTTTTCTCTCTCTCCAAAGCTACGGCAGCGGTAGCCACCGTCGCCGCCGCCGACACCGCCGACACCGCCGCTGTACCTTCAGCTGGAGTCGTCGACAGCTTGCCATCGTTGTGGTCATCGCCGCCGCGGAAGGTCACCTCCCTCCTCCGAGCGGGAGGCCCGCCGCCGCCGCCCCCGGCGGCGGTCCACCCACCGTCACCCCCGCCGCGCCTCTGCCAGAGGCACAGCCGGGGTCTCGTGGTCGCCATGTCCCCGGCCGCCGCCCGCTCACCGTCTTCGTCGCCACCGCTGCCACCGCCGTCCCGCGTCGGCGGTAGCGAGTCCGGCGGCGAGGGCACGCCCTCCTCCTCCATAGCCTTCGGCTCCTCGCCTTCTTCTTCGCCTACCACCACCACGGCGGCGGCGCCGTCGTCCGGTACAAAACTCCGCTCGGTCTTCACTCGACGCTTCTTCGAGGACTCTTGCAAGCGGTCCTGGACGGCGGTGTGTGGCGGGGGGGAAGGAAGGCAGGCCGGCAGGCAGGCACGCACGCACGCCGCAAATGGGTGGGGGGCGGACGGGAGGATTATCATTCTATACGTGCCGAAACAATCGCGGCTCGGTCGGATCGGATCATGCACTTACGTTTTAACCCGATGCGACGCCGTGCACTTGCGCCGAACCGGGGGTTTGCAGACCAATGTGAACAATATCTTTTCGCTACCGCTAGATACCTGACGGCGTGTGTTTGGTTCCATGGTACCTAGGCATGGTAAACACTTCAGGTAGTCGTACACTGCGGTTAGTCACCGTCCGTTCACCCCCCCAAGCCACGACAACCCGGCGAGTCGAGATAGTTGCTCGCGTCCCGCGTTTCTCTGAACGGTTGCCATACCACTATTAGACACGTCGCGCGCTCGAACACCGTAACGAAACCGATTACTAGACTAGTCTTAATGGTTTGATTTCGGCTTCAATAGACATCAACAACACCACCGTACCTCAAGGTCCAAATCCTGCATCGAGAACGAGAATCTCGCGCCGTAAGACTTGCTGTGAAGCTGCACGCCCAGCCCCACAAGCCGCAGCGAGACCACCTCCTCTTCTTCTCCCTCTCCCTCCCACCCCGCAACGACTTGATCCGACGGCCGAACTTTCCTCTTGCTGTTGTTGCTGCTGCTGCTGCTGCCGCCGTCGCTCTCTCCCCCCTCAGAAGCAGCAAGAAAAACAACATCTCCGCCCCGCCCGCTCGTGTCTCTCTTCTCCCTCGACGCTGGCGCGGTCATGTCTTGCAAGAGGTCCACCTGGAGCAGAACAAAATCAACATCAACAACATCATCAACATCAACAACATCATCAACAACAACAACAGAAATAACAACAAACGGTTGGCGGCCAACGCTCGTTGGTGCCTACAAAAGGAAGCACGTGCCCGGAATCGAACATTAAGAAAACACCCCGAAAAACATTAAAAAAAAAAACTCTTGCGGGCGCCGCCGCTATTATCTCGTCACCTCACCTGAATGAGCGGCACCGTCAGCCCGAACATGATGACCTCCCGGTTAGGACCGGCGGGTAGCCGGAAACCTGGGTCGCCGCCACCGCCGCCACCACTATCTCGGCCCGGGGGAGACAGCACCGGGCGGAAGCACTGCTGTGGCGGCGACGGCGGCGGTGTGAAGCTTGCGCCGCCGTTCTCCTTCGCTGGGCCGTCGACGACGGCGTCGGCGTTCATCTCCTCTCTCCTCGCCCCAGCGACTCCGCCGCTGCTCATGGCAGTGGTCCATGCCGAGCCGCCGCCGCCCCCGCCCAGAATATGGCACAAAAAAAAACACGAGAAGCACGAGAAGCACGAGAAAAAAAGTGTGTTGACCCCAAAGGCACGTTGAGTTGCGGCTGTTGGTGTGTCCGATTGCCGAGGGGATATTGAAACGGATATGGCTTACGGGAGTGAGGAGGAAGAAGCGAGAGGTTTCGCTCCTTGGTTCCGTCGGAGGTGAGTTGCGGCGCGGTGCGACTCTTGTCGAATGCGATACGATTCGTGACCGCGTGAAAAAAACTCAAAGGCTAAAATCGGCTGAATGGACCCCACCGGCGTGGGCATGCCACAGAGGGTACAGGTTGCTGCTGCTGCTGCTGCTGCTGCTACTATTGTCGCGGGCATGCATCATATCATTCTGCCCAAACAAAATTGCAGCACCTTCAGATTCAACAACGGGTCTCTCTCTCTCTCTCTCTCTCCTTGCTTTTTCAGGCGTGGGTATACAACTCATTCTGCCCTTGTCCTCAGTCTAAGCTACACAAACCCGTTTACCCGAAATTGTCCATCCCCAGCATCTCCGCCGCCCGTTCGAACTCCTCCGTTACATCCTCAAGCGCGGACTCGAGGTCCTTGAGCTCCTCCTCGCAAGCCTCTAGCCTTTGCGACACTTCCTCAGAGGCCGACCTAAAAAAAAAAAAAAAGAGAGAGATAGAGACACGATAAGATTGCATGCTAAACAACACGCAGTGGAATGAAGGATAGAACACAAACACACGCGCACCAGTACGCCACACACAGCTGTATTCATGCGAAAGACAAAGACACGCACACACACAGGGACGGTTTGGATGACTGCGCCTCCAACAGGCCGACCAATGCCTGCCGAAAAGCTGGACACGAACAAGCCGAGCATCATGACGCATTCGTCTCCTCCTCGATACCTATTATAGATACCTAGCCGCTTCCACACATGCGTGAGAAAAATTCTGTTTGCCAGGCATCCGCTCGTGCCTCTTCGCTGGCGCTGTACCACCTGGCCACACCCTCGAGGACTTGCCTTCCCTTCCTCGCTTTGAGAGCTCCGATCCGGTGGTCACACAGACAGGAATTTCTCTGCCGTGTGGACACCCCCTCTCATATTTTGGGTGCTTGCATAAATCAATCAAACGCAACTTTTTTTCCCATCGCTAGACCTAAGGTGTGTGGCGTCGTCATCACATCACCTGACTCTATCCAGCTCATCGCCGGCCAGACCCCTGTCCTCAAGCTTCCCTCGGAGTTTCTGGCGCTGTTTCATCAGCTCTGCCTTTTCAGCTTCCTTCGCCATGAGCATCTCATCCATCTGGACGAAAAGTGAAAAACACAAAAAAAAAACAGGTCATCCGTTTGCAAAGCGCATTGGTTCACACACAAAGCCTACACGTTGACACGTTCTTCACGTGAAGCAGGAAGAGTGAAAGAGAGTTCCTGACGATACGGTTCACCTTGGAAACGGTCAAAACGGACAAATCCAACTTGGTGTCTTGGAAACCTCACGGTCTCACTCCACACTACCACCCTCATGCACACACAAAAAGAACGTGGTAACCCGTCCCACCCCTCGCCCCCGCTAATCGTTTCCCTGCTGTCGTAAGCAACAATCTTTTACCTCCGACACCGGGTCGCGAGCATCCTGAAAGTCCAAGCTGTCATCATCGCCATCAGAGTCATCGCCTCTTCCTCCTCCTCCTCCCTCCTTCGCAGCAGCCGCTTCAGCAGACACACCCACATGCCACCCCTCCTCCCCGCTGCCGGTGTCCTCTCCCCCCGGCTGCGGAGCCGCGGGCCCCTTCCTCGCTACCTCTGCTGCAGCTGCAGCGGCGGCATAAGCCCACCTATCCGGGCTAAGCGGTTCGCCGTCGCCGTCCGCGGCGTCGTAGAACTCGGACTCCCCGGACACGGTCCGCGATATCCTGCCATCGCCGCCGCCGCCGCCACCGCCGTCGTCGTGCATGGAGCCCAGGCTCCCGGCAGCGGACACGAAGGAGGAAGACCTGCTGCTGCGCCCCAGGCTACCGCCGCCACCCCAAGACGATCCCCCCCACGCAGAGGCAAACTCGTCGTCGTCGCCGCCGCCGCCGCCGCCGCCGCTCGTACCGCAATCGCCGCCGCTGCTGCTACCGCGGCCGCCCCAGCCCCGCCCCCCGCCCCCCTCCCAGTCCAGGCCTTGGTCGCTCAGGCGGAGACGGCGAAGCTCACGACGCCCCAGCGGAGCTACCGCCGCCTCGGCATTGCCGGGGGTGGGCGCCGATCCCTCGCGGGGCTGGTGAAGGTGGTCAAACCTGCCGTGTGTGTATGTTTTTATTTTATTATTATTATTATTATTAGCATCGACCGCGCTAATTGGCTGACCAATGAAAATACGCCAGTCTCAGTGCGGTTGAAAACACAAAATGCTTCTAAATGACATCAACTGTGTGTGTGTGTGTTTGTGTTTTTTTTGTTCCGACCGCCGCACCAACACAAGGCAGTCAGTGAGCGCAGAGACAGGGCGGCGGAGGCGCAGCGGGCGTCGAGGCGAGCATCGGTTTTGCCGCGGGCGAGAAGTACGTGTTTCGCTTGGAGGAAATGATGGTTGATTAGAAACGCCACAACGAAATATACTCCCGCGATCGGTTCTCTGCGGTATCAACAGCGTCCAAAATGTCCACCCTCCTCCCCCCCCACCCCGTTCGGCGGTGTCCACGGTGCTAGGCCGTGATTATCGCAGTTCACCGCGTCTTCTCACCTCTGGCTCAACGAGCGCTGGAACTCCAGAAAGCTCGCCAGGCTAGACATCCCGCCACCGCCACCGCCGCCGCCGCCGCCACCGCCATCGTTGCTCACGTCGCTATAGCCAGCGGCCGCTCGGATATCGACGTCATCCCTCTCCGACAGGCCGCCATCTTCGGGAGGCGGCGAAGGTCCGCCGTCCCCCGCCGCCGTCGAGGCATTCGAGGCCGCCAGCGCCGCCGACTGAGCGGCGATCGCCACGGACATTCTCGCCAGGCGACGGAGTTTGTCCTGAGGATAAGAACAAGAAGAAAGAAATCCGCCACACACGAGAGATGAGGGAGTGGGGGGCGGGTTGGGCAAGCGAAAAGTAAAGCCTGCCTCTGCAAGATGTGGCGCCGACCAAGTAAGGCGATCGAACACGTTCATTGCCGCCGTGCAGGCGAATAGAAAACAACGACCGGTGTGTGTGTGAGACGAAAAAAAACGTATCAGGGACAAACACAGTTCTGCCAGCGTCCCTCAGGTGCATGGCCTACGCCTACGCCACCAACAACGACATTTCTAGCAATATAGACTGGAGGTACGTGCATACCGTCTGCTGCTTGGCTAGTGAAAAACGAGTCTTTCGCTGCTGCAACAAACTTGCGGCTAGCGAAACTCCAGCACCGGGGGAAACGAATGACAAACTGTCTTGAGTCTATTGCGCTACCACAGTAGTACAGCACACAATACCAACTCGCCAAACGCGCCTCGTGCATGCATACACCGCCGTCATCAGGGCAAAACAAGTTACCCCTCGCATGCATAACGCTATATGTATTCTGCGCGGCTATTGTGCGCGGAACAGAGCGCACAAATCAACCAACCGTACCCCCCTTCACGGCAAACAACTCCTCACAGAGAAAAAACTAAACGCCGGCATCACTTGTACCATCCACAATTCAAGCTCTGCGTGACAAAAAAAAACCGAAACGACAAGCAATGAGACAAAAACCTTTGCCGGTGCCCAAGTTTCCGCGTGCGTCGGGCATAGGGGGGAGGGGGGGGACGATGCTGCCGCAAGAGAAAAACGGGGAAGAAATGCCCTGAAGTATCTCACCTGGGACAGCCGTACGTGTAGCCTGGGAAGGTCGCCGTAGACCTTGAGCTGCGACACGCTGGGGTCGTTCGGCATAACACTCAGGTGGAGTTCCATCTGAGCCGTTTTTCCAGAGTTTTTTTTCGAGGTTTCGGGAATCGGGGAGAGGGGGGGGGTGGGTAAGGGGGATTCGGCGGGGTTGCGTGATGATGATGTCGAAAAAGAAAGCTCCATGAGGAGACAAAACTCGCAACGGCATAGATATGTATGTAGGTTGGTCTTGTCGAACAACAAAGCTAGGTGAGGAGACAAAACATCGCAACGGCAGAGGTATGTATGTAGGTTGGTGAGTCGAACAAGAAATCTCGTACGACGAGACAAAAAAAAACTCGCAACGGTGGGTGATACGAGCACGTTCATTCCGGTATACAGTTGTAGCCTGGACAACTAACTCGACACACACGTCGTGCCTGGTCCCTGGAACATTTTCACAAGCACGCAGAGCGCTCGGAGAAGAAAAAAAAAAGGAGATGGCAGCCAACCGCCACGCGCTCCTAATTTAAGCACCCACGACGGACAGAGCAAACAACGACAACATCTGCTTTCCCGACGACCGCTGGATTTTGCCAAAAGACAGATGTGATGATCCGGGGTGAAGTTTTTACCTACAATCTTGGGGGGGGGGGTGCTGGAACTAACCTTTACGTCGAAGGGGTTAACGAGCCAGCGCTTGGCGGCTTCTTCCTCCCCCCAGTCGCCGCTGCGGCTCCCCCTCCCCGCTAGCAGCAACACCCCGACTCGATGCACCTCCACCCTGTACACGTCGTAAAACTTTGCGTGCCAGCTTTCTCCGGTTGCGCGCTGCCTCTTGAACCCGCCGCCGCTACCGGCGCCGGGAACTCCGAAGCCGTTCTTCCCTTGCCTTTGCGACGACGACGACGGCTCTTCCATTTCGTTGCTGCCGCCGCCGCCGCCGCCGCCGCCGCCGCCGTTGCTGCTGCTGCTGCTGCCGCTGCTGCTACCAAAGCCGTCCGTGCCCTCTTTGTCCGCTCTTCGGCGGAGGTGTTGGGCCAGGCGATCGGTGGTGAGGGTCACGCTGCCGAGGTCTACGACGAGCATCTCCCTCGCTAAGACCGCGACCGCAACCGCGCCTGTCTTCTTCCTGGGCGTGCTACCCTTGTTGCCCACGCCGCCGCTTGGCCGCCCCCGGGACTCTTCTCCTCCTTCGTCAAAAACAAAAAATTCCTCCTCGCCTGCTGCTGCCACCCCCCCCTCCGCCGCGGGCTGCACCCGCCCCTCTTTTTTGTCCTGATCTGGTCCGCGGGGGCCCCCGCCGCCACCGCTAAGGTCGACGGGGATGACGAGAAGGGGAGCCTTGACATCGAGGTCGAGGAAGGTCAGGAAACGGTCCGACATGGCCATCTCCAGCCGAGACTCGACTTGCACCCTCAGGTTCTTCAGCTGGTTCGTGGCGGCGAGCTGTTTCGTCCCCCCCACCCCCACCCCCACAGGGCCCAAACCACGGCACACCCGACGAAAACGAAACGCGAAGGGTTTTGAGGTATATAGTGGCAAGGCGGCGCCGTTGCGCCGGGGAGGGCGGGGTGTCGGCGTCAGCGTTTTTTGCCGGCTGGGTGTGCGCGTGTGCGGCGGCGGAGACAAGCGAGAACACATTGTAAGAAACAAAAAAACGAACTACACCGTCTGTGGTGGTGGCGGCAGGGGGTAGGAGAAAGGGGGTTCCGCGGTGGTGACGAAAAGACTGGGTATGGTCGAGAACCGCAAGAGAAAATTTTATCTCGGCCGCCACGAGTTTCGAGCTTGCCGCAGACGGGGAGCAGGCCCCAGGCAGTAACCCGCCACCCTCCCCTCCAAGGCCACACGCCGCCCAGGAACTGCTGCTTGGTGTGCTTCACCGCGCAGTAGGACACCCCTTTGCTGCTGGCCAGAGTCAGAGTCACCCATCCGCGATTCGATTTATTTTCATGCAACAAAACCTGACCTCGCAAAAGCCCTTGGTCTTATCTACCCTGGCTCAGCAGCAACAGAGCTCGGCGCGCGTTTTGCGCCACTCGAGACGGACGGGCGTCCGCCCAACCACGGCTGCAAGCGGTACGCGGTAGCGGTACGTTACCTCGAGCGTCGCCCGGTGCTGCAGCGTCTCCGGCGGCTGCGCGAACGCCACTATGTCTAGCACCCACCCAGCCGTGGGCGACATCACTGCCTCCACCTGCGGCAGCCCGGGCGGCCGATCGTTCGTTCGTTTCGGCAGAGGAAGGAGGAGGTTTGTTTCGGAGAGGCACAACACAACAGAAAAGAGCAAAAATTACGGCAGTAGCCAGTGATAAGAAGGAAGGTCGGAAAGGCACAAAGAACAAAAACGTGACAGTCAATTGCGGGTGATAAGAAGGAAGGTCGGAGGGCCGCAAGGAAGAGCATGCACGCGCAAAACGTCCGTGGAATATGAAGGTTCTATTTAGGAACAACAGCGGTTGGTCGCTTTCACCACGAACCTACTGTAGGGAGGCACGCGGCGGGTGAGAGAGTCAGCCCGTTTTCTTGCCGTGAAGATCGTGCCAACAACAACAATAACAACATCACAACAACAACAAACAACAATAGCAGCAAACAAACAACGGCCAACAACACCAACAAGACTACGGGATGCTTATGTGAGCTTGTTGCTGCGACGCGGTCAGTCACCGCCTTCCTTCCTTCCTTCCTTCCTTCCTTCCTTCCTTCCTTCCTTCCTTCCTTCCTTCCTTCCTTCCTTCGCACCTGATCAACGGCGAGGTAGACCTTGGCATCGTACTCAACGTCCCGCGGGTTCATCTCGAAGCGCATCTCGAACAGAGGAGGACGTTGTTGCTGCAGAGGCGCGAGCGACGACGACGAAATATAAGACGGTCCTCCTCCTCCTCCTACGCCTACGCCGCCCGCACTGCCCCCCGGCAAGGCTCGGCGGGTGACGATCGGCGACGAGTGGCCAAGCTTCTCGGTGCTCCCGCCTCCGTTCAACTGTTAATCGTAAAAGAGTCGGAGGCGAAAGATCGATAATACGAATGCCAGAGGGGGGGGCAGTGGCGAAGCGGTGGCGGGTGCGGGCGAGTCGATGCGTGGTGAATCTGCACGCAAAGTATAACGCATAATACCCACGCAGTAGAAGTAGCAGCAGCAGCAGCAGCAGTGCCGATGGATTGGGCACCCAAGACCAAAACGAACACAGCAACAACAGCCAGCACCGCACTACGATATCGATATCATCGGCACTATTCTAGCACTCAGCCCCTCGCACATATGCAAGTCTCCTTCTCTTTGCGACCAACTAACAGAACAATACTCTGTGGAGACCCCTTTCACAAGCGGTACCACACACCCCTCGACGTCTGTCAAGGACATTCCCTTCTCTTCGCATTGGCGTCGACGAAGAGGAGTCTGGTTTTGGTGGAAGATAAGACCCGGGTCTAAATCCGGCCACCCGTCATATCCAAAAATAGGAAAAAATAAAGAGAAGTAGGAAACTTGCCACCCCAGAAAACTACAGAGAAGAAGGAGTAGGAACCACCTCCCTTCGACTACTGCAGCATTACCTCGAATGGATCGCCTTTTGAGTTATCAACTGCTGCACATGTCTTTTCAAATACAAAAAAGCAACCAACCAAACCAAGCAAGTAATAAAAATAAAAACAGAGCAACAAAAAAAAAATACCTGTGGAGGAGATGAATTGATTGATTGCGTCACAAAAAATAAACGCAAAAAAAAACAACAAAAAAAAAGCTCGTCACCTCGTAGACCCCGAGGTCGTCCAACGCCGCAGAAGCGAGGACGGCGTCCATGTCCTCCCCGTGCAGCTCGGCGCACACCTCCAGCCCACGGAAGCGGACGTCCATGAACGGCGGCGGCGCCGCGGGCTCGGGCTGCTGCCTCAAGGACGACGACAGCAGCAGCAGCGAGCGCGCGAGCTTCTCGCTCTCACCTCCGCCACGGGAGCCGCCGCCGGCGAGAACAAGAGACCCCTATTGTCATTTTTTATTAATGTATTGAGGTGGCGAAAAGAAGAAAAACGAAAACAACACAAGCGAGAGAAAAAAAGGACCCAAAAGTGCATTGTGTGAGTGGCGCCAGGGGTAGGGCGGGCGGCGCTCCGTGGGCGGGTGTGGGGGAAGGCGGGAGAGGCAAACAGCGCAGCACCAGCACCAGCACCAGCACCAGCGGTTGGGGGGGTGAAACACAGCGAATTCTGATATTAACCCGAAGATGCCAGCCAGCAGCTTGGTACCTACCTTGACTGCCTGCCTGTCACGAGGGTAAGCTTGCGGGGCCACCGCCCGTCCAGAAACTGACTCCTTCATATAGCTTTGCTACGTGACGCCGCCCGCCCCCAGCCGCAGAAAAATTCAGGCTCCATTCCCGAGCGAAATAAATTCGGTCACCGTCCATGAGCCGACGGCCGCCACTGGCCACGGCTTCCGAAAGGCAACCGACACCAATCGACAAGAAAAAAGAGCGACCGACCGCCACATCCTAACCCTTCACAAAAAAAAAAAAAGAAGAAATAATACGAAACGGTGGAGTCCATGCCACACCAACGACAACATAAAAACAGTGGCACGTAGATCGCTTACCTCCGGAGCGCGCAAATTAAGGGAGATCGCCAACCACCCTCCCCAACCCGCCGCACCATCACCACCACCACCCTCCGCATTAGGCGGCGGCGGCGGTGGCGGCGGCGGCGGTGCGCGAGCGGAGGGGTCGAAGTCGATGGCGGCAAAGAGGCGGCGGAAGTTCTCGTCCTCTCCGTGGTCCCCTTCCCCGGCCCCGGCCCCGGGGCCCGCGGCCGCGTCCTTCGCCTTCGCGCCCACGGGGCCGTGATCCGCGGAGGACCGATCCCCGGAACGGTCTGCGCCGGTGCCGGCGCGCATGGCCCAGCTCACCTGCGAAGAAGAGCCAGACAGCCACACAGCCAGACAGCCAGCCCCTCAGCGAGACAATAAAATCTATGAAAGCCGGAAAAATGTGGCTCTTGTGCTGGTCAGGTTTCGTTGGTATTGCCGATTTGACCATAAGGATGATAGGGCAATACGGCTGGCAAGAGAGAGATGATACACGCGTGGGCGAGAACACAAAAAGGTGCCCTGCCTGACTTCTTAGCGCGGGGAGCGTGCCAAGTTCTGTGTCCGGCATGGAAGAATACCCTACTTCGACAGGGTTCGAGCAACAACAAACGATCCATGGACGGACGAACGCGTGGTTTCTGTTGTTGGATTTTAGCGTCCGCGTGGCTTGTCGCTTTGCGTCCCCCACAAAAGTCAGCGAGGTATCACAAGGTATGTCGTCGTTGTGGCGGCGCTCGGAGCCCTACAAAGCGGCGGTACGAAACAGCAGAAGCCTCGCCTTCACATCGGGGAGCGGGCTTGAATCCGATCAAATACATGGATTGGGTGTTTCCCCTTTTCCAGCAGTCTGTCGGTGCCACTAACAGTTCCCGCTTGCCTTGTTCTCCCAACAGATACGATCCACCCCCTTTGCCAAACGACACGAAACTTAAACTTTGAAACATGGGCAGCAGCACAGCGGGGCAAACATAACTGGACTTTCTCAAAAGGCCACATGCTTTCGTGTACGGTGCTTCTCTTTCATCTTCTACTGCTACATCATCACGTCGCCATGCGCAGGCTCTCACTACGGTCCCGTTCTCACCCAGCCGCCGATACCCCAGCGGTTCCCGCCGTCACCGCCGCCGTCCTCTCGGCCACCGCCGTTGCGGTGGTGGTTTTCTCTCCCAGCGCGCAGCAAGGCATCCTCCCGTTCGGCCATCGCCCGAAATATGACGATGTCTTCGAACGACAGCTCCTCCTCGAGCGCCTCTAGCCTGGCCTTGTCCTTCGCATCTGCATCATCATCGTCTTCATAAGGCTCTTCAACGGGGGTCAACGGCTCTTCCCGCTCGGCGCTCCCGTCTCGCGCGCCCCCGCTCCTGCTGCTGCTGCTGCTGCTGCTGCCGACCCCCGCGCCACCGCCCACGACTGCGGCAGCACCGCCATCCTTCTCGACCCCGTTGGGAGCTCTGACGCCTCCCGACGATGGCGGCACCGCCTCCGCCTCCGCCGCGGTGTTTGTGCCGAAAGACGGCGACGGCGCCGCCGAAGAAGACGCCGGAACCGACCCAGACGGGGAGCGAGGAGAGGGACACAACTCCGCACCATCGCCGCCGCCGCCGCCGCCACCGCCCCCGTCGCTACCACCGCCGCCGCCGCCGGCACCGGCACTACTACCGCCTGCAGCAGCGGACGACAACCCCAGAGCCTTCTTCCACAGCGGCATGTACTCGAGTCTAGCCGGAGGGGGGAGGGGTCGAACCAGAAAGGGGGGCACGCAGATGGGATGGAAGCGACGGTCACCAACCCTACGCCCTACGAAGGGCTCTTCGTAAACTTCTTCTACAAGTGTGCATCACGTCAGCACTCGAAAACGCCCGTGCAACCGCAAACGGTTACGGAACACCGGTGTATGTATGTGTTTGCTTGTCGCCTCATATGCAATGAAACCAGCATCAATCAAGTTTTCCGGCACTCTGAAAGCTCGCATCTCAGCAAACAACAATTTGTGTTGGGAACCGAGCCGAGTCGGGGCCGTTCATTCGGAAGACTGCACTTCGGGCAGACCGGCGTCGAACACGAAAAGATCAAAAGTCCAACGGACGCTCGACACAAAAAAAATCAGAACAAATACGAATACTCCCCAGAGTGAAACTGGAACACTGCAAGGTTATGGTCGTTATTGGTTGTCATTGTCATCTCACCTCATCCTCCGCCGCTTCGCCATGTCCGGGAACCTGCTGCTATGAGAGAAGCCGTCGGCCCTGAGCTTGTCCACCACCACGGCGAACGCGAAGCGCCACCAGGCCGCGGGGTCCTCCAGCACTGGCACTTCCGGCCTTCAAACAAAAGAAACGCGGCGGAAAATCACGGACACACACATCCATGATGGCAAGATCCGAGGCAAAGGTTGTGCAGCAGTGGTATCCCCGATAGTTTACGTGCCAGACTGGGGGATTTTTCATTAGTTATCAGTCGGCTAGCGCGATCGATTTCACTAAAAAGATGCCCACGCACAACTCGTTTCTTCTCTTATCTTGCCTGTGCGACTGACATCATTTCATTCGTCAGCCAATTGGAACTGCTGTCAACGCAAACTAGATAAAACACATATGCATACGCGCCCGTATACGAAGATGGTCAGCGGAGAAAACGACGCGAGGTGCCGTGGTCTGGTGACTACCTTGCATGCCTGTTTCCACGAGTGCCCCTGACCTCCCCTCCCCCCTTCAATTTTTTTTCGAGCTCTAACAAACAACGAAAAAAGCTTGTGGCTAGGGGTAACGCCGTGGTACCGGGTCCGCACCTGTGCTTGAAGTACTTCCCGACCTCTCCGTACCGCGCGACCGACGCTCCGAGGCACATGGCGCCTTGCAGCTGAAAGTGCTCCAGCTGGCAAGAAATTGTTCCCAGCTCCACCTGCGCCTGCACCCTGGGCTGGGACCTGCGGCGGCAGCAGCAGAGCGACAGAAAAAAAAACGTGAGAACGATAACATCGAAACCCGCACAAAAAACAGGACTGTGCTAACAATAAAATCACTGCTGTTGCAAAAACAATAGTAACTCTCAGGAGTTATGACAGCAATTGTCGCTGGCTTTTCCGTCGCTTGTTGCCATATGGACTTGATTCTTTTTGGCAGGGGGCGCCATGAGCCTATGAACAGGAGGAGGACGGTTGACACAACAACGCGACTGCTGCTGCCGCTGTTGAAATCCACACTAAACACACGAGAGGTTTTGATTATGATGGAAACAGCATTCATGGGTTCTCGTTAACCCAACACACTTCCCCTCCAAGAAAACTTGCAGAGCATTCAGCGACTCTGGGGGATGGCGGGATGGGGAGGATAAAACCAGACTTGATCCAAAGCTTCAGGAACCGCACTCGAAGTCCGCACTCGCGATCTGCCTCACCGATCACTCGGGTCGACGCTCAGCGCCACCCGTGCATTGGCATCCACTGGCTCTAGAAGGTAGCGGTGACGCAGCGGCTCCCCGGGCCCGTTCCCCGCCCCCGCCTCGCCGGCATCATCGTCTTTCCTAGCGATAAGCCTGCCCCCCCACCCACCCACCCACGGTGCCGGCACCACGAGCCATACATACACCGCAGGGGAAGCAGCAAAACAGCCCGGTCGGGTTAGGTACAAGAAGGAGGTCAATGCATCTCGACCGGTCTAGCGAAACTGCACCACCTCCTTCCCCCGCCCTAACCGCAAAAAAACGCCCCTCCGCTCTCCCCTCTCCGGTGCAACACAACACTACAACGCCTACTGCCAGGTGAAAAAATCCGACGTGCTCCATCTATCGCGGCACCAACGCCACCAGCCCCCCCCTCCGCACCTGCTGATGACCACCTCTGCCTGGTCGACGGGAATGTCCGACAGGTCCATCGAGCAAGGGTTCCCACTCTCCGCCGGGTTCCAGTACACCGCCAGCTGGTTCAGCTGCAGCGTTTTCTTCACCAGCCGGTCGCCGACGACGACACCCCTGCTGCCGCCGCTCCCGCTCCCGCTTCTCGCCCCCGGCCCGCCCGCGCCCCCGCCGCCGTTCCCTACCGCCCTCGCTCCCGACGACATCGCGGGGTCATCGCCACCAACGCCGTCGCCGCGTGGCGAAGAAGAAGAAGAAGCGACACCGGTCGTCGCCTCGATCCCGTTCTCGCTAGCAGCGTTCCTCCTCCCCCCGTTTCTCGGGGGCACCACCGGTTCACCCCCACCCCCCGTACCGCCGCGGCGGATGGGTCCGGACCGAGGCCCAGGCTGCACCTCCCAGCCCTGGTCCGTCGACTCTAGCCACACGGACTCTAGCGTTGCGCCGAGGTAGAAGGGGGTGCTGGGATTGGAGGTCCGATCCTGCGGGGTGCATGCGTGCGTGTGTTGAGAGGACAAGGCGGGTGGGTAAGGGGTGACGTCTTGGAGAGGCGGCGGGATTACGTGGTGGGGGGGGGCAGATGACGGCACAAGGGACCAGCGTCTCCCAGCTCCGCTGGGGGCTGCGCATACTGGGCCAGACAACCTCTGTCGATAGGCTCAATCAAGGCCCGAATGCTCGTCAACACAAGAAAAACGTACACACGAGACAAAAAACAACACAGGAAAACACACCTCGTAGCGCACGTGAACCTCTCGAACGTGGATCTGCAACGAGTCCACTATCCGAGTGATGAGGCGATCTGTCACCCACTTCTGCAGCCCGGAGCCCCATCTTGCCTTGCTCCCGCCTGAGCCACGGGTGTGCCAAGCGAGTTTTGGCGGGAGGAGCGGGCGTAATACACCACCACAAGCGCGTCGGGGGCGGGGGAAAGGCCGCACGGCAAGGATCAAAGGCGGGACCAGCAAACACGCAACGTGGGGGGGGGTCCGCAACCACATGCACGCCAGGTACACCCGTTACGTGGTGGGCAGAGCACAACCTAAATTGTCGCTGAAACAGAAAGGCGTCGCGGCATGAGGGATTCATTCGGTCAGCGTCAGCAAAACCAGGCAATGTACCCACACACAACGTTCTCTCCCGAAAGGTGAAATTGTTAGAGCGCTATGCTGCCTTTCAAGAAAAGGTGACAGTTGACTCACCTTCGGTGGACCCGGCGGGGGTGTCGTCCAGCGGAGAGGTTCGGAAGAGCTCCGCGGCGGCGATTTTACCGCGCTTTACGGCGCGCTCTCGCCGCTTCACGGCTCCCGCATCCCACTCGAACTTGGGCTCGACGACCAAGAATACCTGCGTCACATGTGTAGGTCACACATGTAGGCGTTGAACGAATCAGTGAATGTCAAGGCCACGCAAACGAACAAGCTCTATTCCCTCCCTCTCTCTCTCTCTCTCTCTCTCTCTCTCTCCCTCTCTCCCTGAACACACGTGGTGCATGTTTGCAATACGACTCCCACGCCAGCATATGACTTGTAGACTTAATCTAACTGCATAGAAGTACATAGTATTGTCATCCTATCATCACCACACACAGCAGCTGAGCACGTGCGTATTGGTAGGTGTATAGTTTCTCTACTCACCCGGTCGACATCGACGAGGATAGGGTCCTTGTTCAGGGTCGACCATGGGATCTGTATCTGCAGCCGGCCTATGATGCCGTGCCTGAGCGCCAGCGGGAGCTCCAGCATATCCATCAGGGTCTTCTTTATGTGCATATCCTCCAGCACAAGGTAGCCTTTTCTCGCCCCCGACCCCAACCAAAGAGTGAACCAGAATTCAGCGGCAGCGGCAGCAGCGAGGCATATTTTGGTTATTACACCGTTACACGAGCTCTGGACCGTTTTCGCCCTCACTCGATATTCGTCCATGACTTGTCCATCAAAGGCGGGGTGGGATACCGGTGAACCACCACACCGTCCACGTGACAAAATGTCTGGCTGGCATGACCCGACGCACAGCAGTTAGCACGCGCTTGCCCGACTTTCAGTATCGATCTTCAACAAAGTTTGCGTAAGGCAGGAGGTATTGCTACCGACCGCAGCACCAAGACTGCCGAAAAGTAACCCTGACCCCACCACATGTTCCTCCTTAGTATCGGCTGCCACCTACCACAAAAACACGCTTGGAGCGCTGTTAATAGCAACCTCTCTCCTGCGTTGCCAAGTTCAAACCTTGCCGATGCCTCTCTCTTCATCAAAAGAGTCTTGGACGGCGATGTGCCGCAACCGAGTGGACTACAGCAGTACAGTAGCACACCGATAGCTCTATGTGGAAAACAGGTGTAGCACAGCAGTCTTAGGTGGCCAGCAGCACTGCTGGGTACGGGTTCCGTCGACGTGCGTTGCTGCCGACAGCAGCAGCGGCAGTAGCGGTGCAATGCGCCGCAAACCGCAACGGAAGGAATGACGTCCTAGACTGCTGTTGGAAGTCTACCCGCGGAAAAGTACGTACTCGTGATGTTGTCGGGAATACTGCAACCTCCAAGGAGGTGTTCCCCGACCCTATGCATGCATTAGGCACAGACAGCAGTGTGCCTGGGACCAACAACTCGATTGAGGCACCGCAACAAGCAAGCGAGCAGTCCGAGAGGAAACAGATGTGCAAGAAGGCAGGCACAGCATTGTTCCATCCATCTCCCTTGCCGAGGGATGCCAGCCGGTGTATGCGGTCTGCGGGGAGCTCCCAGTCACAGCATATCAGTTTGAAGTTTGCATGTCGCGCTGGACTGTAGACTTTTTGTTGTGCTCGCTTTCCTCACCTCTCCATATTCCGAGCTTGACGCTCTCGGTGTTGAACGTCGAATCTTCCACATACTCCCCCAGCAGCCTGGTAAGTATAGAAGAGACGAGGCGTTCGAACATCTCTCCCTCCCCCTTGTGGGTCGCTCTCTCAGCAGAACCCTATCTTCAGCTGACCCTGCCTATGTCTCCTGCTCCCCGTCACAGCTTGAGTCTCTCCCTGTATGTTCTCTCCCTGCCCCCAGCTCGTCTTCGGCTCAGACAACAGGGAGGATCTTCGCAGAAAACCTACACCCCATCCATAGCGGGCGGGCGCCTTAAGCGGTCTATGAGAGCTGGCACAGGAGAGGGTGGCTCTCGACAAGACCGACCCACTACATCAAACGGGAACAGGGGGCACCGCCGGAGAAATGGTTCTCATGCAGGGGGGTTAGACTTCGTGTGTGTCTAAACAGAAGTGCATGATGTGCCCTCAGCTCGCTCGCGCCCGCTACTGCTGCTGTGTCTGTGCTGTGTGCTCTCGGTGTCGAGACTTCGTTGGTCGTCGCCATTATTGAGTGTGTGCAGAGTTTTTGCTGCTCCCATCCCCGTCCAAAGCGAAAACCCATTTCGTCCGCGGGCAAGAGTTTGAAAACCTACGGCCCCATAATAACACCTTCTTGCTTTGGTTCACTGCTATTCCGCCTTTGCCTGGGATAGCAGCGTTTGCCGTAGTGAATACTTTGGGGATGCCGTAGCACGTTGATGGGGCAGCGGAGTGCCACTTGCCTCCTTTCCTACCTTGCGTTGGTCGTTGTACGATCTTCTTTCGGTCGGGAAAATCACCCCATCATCATGCCGCCAGTTGCGGAATTGGTCCGCCAGTTCATGAGCGAGCTGGATGCAGTGGAGGGAGACGTGTTGGATCTCGCGTGTGGAAGCGGGCAAAATGGGTGAGCGAAAAAATCGCGGAATTGAGCTTATTGTTTGCACACGGTCCACCGGATACTTGACAACATCATGTACACGCATTTCCGACGTTGCATGTGTACAATGCCCTAGATGACACAAGATACCACACCCCCTCAACCGGTTATCAAAGCTCGATTTCTCCAGAACAGAATGGATGGCGGCGCCGAAAATGGCGGCGTTAAAGCCGTCTCGTAGAGAGCTTTCCGAAAACGTATTGGTTCGTTTCTACACCCTCTTGGTCGTGGAGTAATCAAGCTTTGAAGATCGCGGCCAACGGGGTGTGGTATCTTGTGTCACCTTTTGTAGTAAGGACCGCCCTCACCCGCTCGCGGGTCGAACGAGTCGCAAAGTTGAAACAGGGTTGTTACCGAACGATTCATCATCTTTCAAAAGAGCGCCTGTCTCCCGCGATCGGCAGAACAACTTGCTGCAGGAGGGATAGGCCAATGGATGGGGGAAGGTACAGCAGTATCAGGGATATGCGACATGTGATACATTCATGCAAATCTTTGTCGGACGTCGGGTCGTGATGTGGCAGGCACTGCTGCGGTATTGCTGAGGCACTTCAGTATTGCCTTCAAATCTGATTGCATCGAGCTCATGCTTGCTCCAGACACGCAATCCAGACACGCAAGGGCGATCTGCCCCGCACACCTCGCCAAGGCGATCAAACAAGCAATACAGAGCGCGATAGAATAGCGGAGAAAACCTCCATGAAACGAACGTGATTCATCGGCTTCGGTGAAAGACAGCATAGGTACATACGGTAGCTCCTTTCATGACCACCTTCTTCGTTGTTGGATTAAATGCTGTCAGCTTCGCTGTTACCAACTGCGTTTGACAGTCCTCCTGCTGCGGCGCACCCCCCGGCGACCGGTGGGAAGATGATGCACTACCCGTTAGTCTACGCACCATCGGCCTTGGAACATTTATTCGTAGTTGCTATACATCGGTACGTGTGCAAATCTTATCATCCAAGTTGTTATTGGTTAAATTTTTGATGACCCGCTATGCGGTGCTCGCGATCTCATTGGTTGGCAGCTTGTTCGTCGCGCAGTCAGACCAAGACAAAGGCCGCCGCGACCGCAAAGTGGTGCTGCTCGACAGAAACATCGGGGAGGCCGTCAGGTGCACAGCCGACCTTCCAGAGGCTACCAGAGAGCTCGTGGTGCACCAAGAGGTGACTTTGGTTTAGTTCGGCACAGACAGGTAGTAGATAGCCAGGGTTGGAAGAACGCAGAGTGAGCTGAGAGTGTTCTCACTTGTGAAGCGCTCGCTCTCGCTTTCACACCCCGCAATCAACCTACATTAATTGGTGCTTGTGAGGTGTAACGTCTAATTTTGTCGGTGAACAAGTCTTGTGATGATTCAGTCATCAAGTTGTTGCATAGAAGCTTGGTCGATGCCTGGATGTCTGGGGGGTGGCCGTTAGAAACTTGTGAGCAGCACGCCTACTTTCAAGCGTGCTTTGCTCCCCCCACGCCATCCAGAGAATTTTCCTGGCATCTTTGGATCAAATGTATGGAAAAATCGGTGACGCAGGCTTCCCCCATTTTTACTTTTCTCCATCTTTGTTTACTTGCTCGCGCGCAGACTGACCTGGAGACGGAGGAGAACCCATCGCCTCTACCCAGAGAGACATTCGGGGCTGTTCTAGTGTTCAACTACCTGCATCGTCCTCTCGTGGCCAACCTTCGCGACTCCGTAAAGCCGGGGGGCTTGGTCCTGTACAAGACCTTCACGTGGCAGCACCCGTCTGTCGGCGTTCGTCCGTCCAACCCGGCGTTTCTGCTTGGCCCGGGCGAGCTCAAGGATGAGATGTTTGCCGGGTGGGAAGTGATAGATTTCTTCGAGGGGGTGGTGGTGGTGGAGGGTAACGCCTCAGCCGAGGGCAGCGGTGTCCGGCGAGTGGCGGTGTCGAGCATCGTGTGCCGGAAACCGGTGCCTGCGGTAGTGGTAGTCGATAGATCTGTCCCCACCGAGACGTCAGCACCCGTAGAACTGTAAGTATAACCGATATAGAGGCGAGGTGTGCCTAGCCTATGAACACGGTTTCGAATGGAAGACACTGTATAAGGTAGTCTAAAGATAGTGCAAGTTTGCAGCACCTGGTGAATGGGGCGGATTCGTGCGTATTGGGGTACATAAATGCCAGCGGCAGTGATGGCGGCCAAGCCGAAGATCCCCACTGATATCAATAGGCACTCATTTTCTTAAGTGGAGCACTCGTTTGCTGAAGTGGAGAACGTGTGTTCTTCGAACATGACGTGGGTATGTTTTGTGGATGATGAGGTGGCGTTGCCATACCGCTCTCTTATGGTACGACGCTACTTGTATTGTCTAATTTTACAGGAAAAACAAAACCAATAGTCTCAAGACTACTACATCAGTACAGCATCGGTACGGTATGTATTGTAGTAGTTGTCGGATGTGCGGGGTACATTGTGGGCAAAGAGGCTTGGTTACCTAGAAATCTTGGGTGAAACAAGAGCATTTCACGTGCCAACGTCGCCTTGTGCTATAAATGGCTTTTCGATGCCCGTATCAAGCGGAGCACTGCTTTTGCGCCGATGCGCGTTTTCACCGCCTGCGGTATCTACCCCGGCTGCTTTCTTTGCTGAAACATGATGGTGATTCATATGTCGTGCTGACGAGACAGTAGGCATGGCAACCTGTCGTTGTAGCTCAGTGGTTAGAGCACCTGTCTTACTCACAGGGGGTCGAGGGTTCGATCCCCTCCAATGACTTTCACATTTTTTTAATCCTTTTTTTCGCTGCTGGATGAAGTTCTCAGCGGGTGGATTCTGTGTCATCACCAATGCGTCAGGATTTCGACTCGAAAATGCCGTTATTCTCTGTCTCTCTCCAGCCATGTGTACCGCATGTATGTGGTTATATAACAAGTGTGCGGTGGTTCCAAAGGTATATGGAAAAAAAAGGATACCTTCGGGTTCGGCCGTACCGTTGCCCCCCCCCCCCGTCCAGTCATGATTCCCATTTTTTGCCCCCTCGATGCAACACACCGCCGCCACCACGCCGCATTGACCCGCAGCCCCTTTTACGACTTAACCATGAAGACTGCTGGTGCTATCGCACTCGTCACCCTTGGCTGTGCCAATGCCTTTGTCATCCCCGCGGGCCGCACGGTAGTGCGCGCGGAAACAGCTCGAGCCGCTGAGAAAATCAACACGATCGAGTTCGAGTTGGACAAGCCAAAGGCAAGCCAAGCATCGAGCGGCGTGTACAGCTGCTGTAGTGCAGTGTGGCATCGAGTCCTCGATCATTGCCAGCTGCAAGTGTGGCAGCGACTTGCGCGCGCCATCTTAGCCTAGTCACACACTCGTATCCATGCGTTGTGCTACTGCTCTCCTTCTTGGTCCACCTCTGCAGCAGATCACGTGTTATTTGCATCAATGTTCATGTTTTGGGATACCAAACCTCTGTTTGTACTTCGGACTTGCTGCTGGTACAACGTGCATGTGTGCGTACGTATACGTATACATACAGCACGTGGGTGTATTCCCACATCCTAGGAAGGGGCAGTGTAGACACCACGACCCCGTGATCTTAGTGACACCAATGCGATTGAGAGATATTTGCCACCTCGCGTGTTTTTCCAGGCTCAAGACACCCATCGTCTCACGAGAGACCACCCTCCATGTACCAAAGCACATGCCCTGAGTCAACCACACATTATGAGCACGATCAAAACGATATTTGAAGCGAAGAGAAATGCGTCGAGCGCAGCAGCGCAGCAGCGCAGCAGCAGCGATATGTAGATGCTTTTCGTTGCACCTTTTCCTTTCCTTTAGAGCTCAAGTTCTATGTGTATGTCCTTCCATGAAACGCGACGCGCCAACATTTCAGGTTGTAACGATGGACTCCGTGGACGCCGGGGGCAAGAAAGTGTACTGCCGGTGAGGACATCTGGAAACAGCCATGTGCTCTGGAAAATGAACACATCAGTCTGTTTTTTTCGCTACAAGTAGGACATCAAAGCCGATGTGTGTTTTCAAAGAGTTTTATTTTTATTTTTCTTAATATGACACAACGAAACCATCTCTATCAACATTTTTGTATCCTGGTGCATGAACCGTCGGTCTCAATTTCCACCCTCAGCAATACTATCTTGCTTTTCTTTGTCGACCCTCCCAAGAGCTCCGATCCGAGGTGTCACGAGAGGATCCTGTGTGGTACAGCAGTATCATGTTCTTTTCTTCTTTTTTTCGTGCAGCATTTCCTTCCGATAATAAGCATTAATGAATGTGTCAGCTGGTGTATTACTTCCGGTTTTTGCCGCTGTATGCATACATACAAAAAGTAGGCATAAACTGTGGAAACATTGAACAGCTGGTTGCGGATGTCGAACAACAAGTGGTTTCATGCTGTTTTCGATGTCGGTATGAAGAGACCGAAATCCATGCCGAGCACACAACAAGCAGTAGGTTTGACCACGCGCTCGCTGAGGGCCCAAAAGCGCCGTCGGAGGCATGCTTTTACAGCTGTCACATCGAACACGTAGTGGCCCGAGCTGCATCGCTCAACCTGGTTGTGTTGAACCTACTTGTCGCCACAACGTTCATTGATAACATCCCGGCTTTGCGTGAAGTACTTGAGAAGTTCCAAGTCAAGTGGATGCTCTCCGTGTTGTGTCTTCGCATGCCAATCAGCTGAATATTCCGAAAACGATGCGACCCACTCCCTACACACCGGTCACCTCCGCAAAAATTACCAGTACACGGCTCGACGCCCCTATTGTTCACTCTCTATCTCTTGCGCCCCCTTCCTTCTCCCCGCCGCTTTCCTTTGCGTAACTCGTCTGTTTCGCGGGCGTGGTTATCAAAAGGTGCTGGAAATCCGGGACTTTCCCCCTGTGTGATGGTGCCCACGTGAAGCACAACGAGGCAACCGGGGACAACGTGGGCCCGCTCATCGTGTCCGGCCCCAAGAAGGAATAGATGGGTGTGCTTCTAAACATAGGTTTTACTTTTATCCATCTTGATCACTTTGCTGGTTGTTGCACCCACACATTGGGTTCGATTCACAGGCGGAACATCACATTGCTGCAACCACAACTTGGGAGGCAAAATCACAGGCGGGAATAGCGAGAGGTTTAGGGGGTGCGAATCACAGACCGAATTATATGGAGGTGGCCGGTCCTGTTGCAGGAATAATTGCTTTGGGATCGTTCGCTGCTCGAGGCGATCGTGACTCGTTTTCGGTTGGCTGGGCGGTTCATGATGTACAGCGCCATCTATAGGCCACGGACGTACCACTGGATGGTCGATTGTCGGCTGGATCTCTTTAGTTTAAGACTGGCTGCTGTAGACTGGAATGGTACATGGACGTGTTTTCACAGGCAGCACAAACACGCGGGGTATTTTCACCGCATGTTGCTGGCAATTACCGTAGGTAGGCATGAATATCGTTGATATTTATCGCTGGTCATGTCACGTGATGGCGGTATCACGTCCATGTACCAACTTCACCCTTATCAGCTGTATGAACAGGAGCTCATCCGACACTTGGGTAAAGCGCACCAGAGTATTGTGCTCCATGTGTACACGTCGGAAACCTAATTGGTCCTTGGTGTCGGTTTGGCGTAAAGTAGAGTGGCCTTGGTGCATGGCGGCTGAGTTATCGTCGTGCAATGCCTTACAAGTGCATGGAGCGTTTACGCACAGATGTACTTGAGGTCGGGACGGCCTTGTTGGGGCCTCCAGGTAGGCGTATGTCATTACTTTCTTAGCCCCCCCAAAGGGTGTTGCCTCGAAGCAAGCGAGACGTCACAAGTGAGTGCCAAACGACACCCACCCGTGCATGCGCCTTTTGTGCAGACATGCGCCTTTTGTGCAGACGTTGGGTGGGGCACCAAACGAGAATGCGTCTTCTGCTCGTTCGCCTATTTTATTGTTCCATACAGTCACATATTGTGGCCAAAGCCATGGAGACAGAACACCAACCTCAAAATAAAACACTCCGCTGCGTACTAAATATTGGTTGTGGTTCATGGGATAGTCTTGGTCATGAGCTGGAGCTGGAAGTCGCACCCGTCTCTAACAAGCTCAGGGTAAGGAAACGGCATTGTTCGTTTTTTCCTGTATCCCTGCGCCTCGTACCACCCGAACAGCTCCGGGAAGAAGCTCACTACCGAAATTTCGATGTTGATGTTCGATCGGCGTAGCTCGTTGCGACAGCGTTCCTCTGCATGACGGTCCGAAATGATCGAGAGTTTACGAACGAGTGCGCGTAGAGAGACACAGGGGGAGTTCAAAGTGGGGAAATGTGCGAAGTTCAGAAGAAGGCGCGTGTGGGAGAATTTTCAGAGGGCCAATGATCTATATAGGAACGCTAGGTCGAGGCCCGGCGGCAGTGTTTTCGAATCCTCCGACGAAATGCAGCAGCAAAAGAAAAAATGCGGTCGAAGCAGCAGCACATCACCGCACACGGTGCTCGCCCGCGTCTGGAGAAGTAAATGAGACACAAGTTTTGGAACTCGTTTTGGGGTCGTGCTGGCCGCACCTGCCGGGTGAGCCCCAGCTTAAATGGGTCAGGGTGATCAAGAACCCGCCTAGGTACTTCTTTCGTTTTGTGCCCTAGAGAGACAGAGGATCTGTACAAGCTTTTTTCTTTGTTCGTGAGAGAGAAAAGACGTAATCAACAGAGGACGCGCGAGCAAACCGCGCGATGAAACCGGCACACCCGGGCGTGGTGGCACCAAAGAGACGGGAACGATTCGTTTTGTCTTTAGAAATCCTCGGCGGTAAGTGGCCTTCACCACCTTCTTTGCACCACGATAAAAGTAAAGTATCAAAACGCATGAGATTTCTTGAGGTTTTCTCGCCGCCAGAACGAACGCGCGGGGACCCCGCGCTTGCTTGAGGTCTGTCTGAATTGTGGGACCATGGTAAGGGTTCGGTAGGGTTGACGCCCAACACGTTTAGTTTCGTTGAACAAATTCTGATCGCCACGCCGAACGAAGCTAAGACGTAGAAGTATCCCACAATAGAGCAACCTACCAGGCTAGTCTGACTGTTTTCACACACTTGCCCCGGACAAAAGAAAAAACGCATGCATGCATCCAGCGGTTTGTTGTGCTCTCTCTCAACGCACCTGCTGCAGAAACCAGAAGCCTCCCTATCCCTCGCCCGGAGCACTCCTTCGGGACGCTGAGCATGCCGAAGTGTGCATCGACGTCCTCGTCGCCGCTGTCCGTTACCCCCGACCAGCAGACGTGCACGCAGCCCACCAGCGACTTGCTGTTGTCGTCGCCGTTCGTTTCCTCCGCCACAAGGAAGACGTTGTCGGGCGTTTCCATCAAGGTCATGACTATCGGTCCCACACGAAGAATGGCACGGGGCGCGCGCGCGCGCGACGTGGGATGTATGCCGGCGGACAATCAATGCCCTTTCGTCAGAGGTGGAACCGCGAAGAAGGTTGGTTGATACAGGGGTCGAAGCATGACACGTGAAGAGAGCCAACAAAGACCGGTGGTCCGGTGGCATATCGATTCCAGGCGAAAAGGTCGCCAATTGATTGCTGGATACGTGAAGCGTGGTCTGGACGCAAGAGCGCACGGATAGCGGTAGAATGAAAGCATGTCGAGCGGTGAATGGAGTATGATAAATGCAAGGTATGCTGCTGGAGACAGATGTGGATTTGGGTCTACGTTCCTGAGTTGGACGGGGCGGGTGTTCATGCAAAGTCCAACGAATGCTCAATAAAAGCTTGTCGTATGTAAGAGATTCCATTCCACCCTTCTACCCCCCAGGGATACCGACCCGATGTGCTTCCGGCAAGGAAGATAATTTACCGTGGAATGTTTAAATATGCAAGAGAAAACTTTCCGATACAAGCCCTCGCCCTCTGGTGAGTTCCTCTTCCGCCTGCCTATGGGGTAACGGTTTTTTCTCTTATTCATTTGCGCACCCCGGTGCCCTAACCCCCGGCTGGGTGCCATCTCATCGATAACTGTGCGGAGATACAATTCCGTTGTATACAGTTGCAGCTTCTCAAGGCACCACGATGCGATCTCTCCCTCTGTGCTACGGCGATGATACTGTACACACACACCCCGGTGCGACAACGCCGAGCGACACTGAAACCCACAACACAGGGCTTGGTTGGGAGTATGCAATTTCCATACCGATCAAGTGGATACAACTGACTCATTTCCCCCGCGTGAACCACGACCGACCGCACATAAAGGAGCGGCGCCCCGATGATACTCTCACCGAATGCAAACGTTATCCACATGTATGTATGTACCACTTTAACGCAGCTCAAGAGGTGGCCCCAGCAGCTCAGAAAATGGTCCGGAGCCACCCGCGGAGCACTGATCTTGGATTTGTATCACCGATACCGGTGCGGAAATCGATATAAAATCATGCCGTTCTTGCTGTTTCTTGCACTCCCCACTGGGTGCCATCTACCGGACCTCCGTCGCAAGAAAAATAAGATTATGAGGAGACAGCACAGGGAGGGGGTACGCAGACCATATTTCCGTAACCCGAACCCAACTACCCCGATCGCACGCTTTATCCAACATATTTACTTACTAGAACCCTGCGAGGGCTATCCAAGTTCTCCGATTGACGCTTTATCCAATATGTTTACTTACTAAAAAAAACTTGCGACCGCTAATCTCCCCCACTCTTGGTGCCGGTTGGTGAACGATATCTACGGCATGAGCATCGATAGCACCACAGCCTTGTGTCAGAGGGCTTCCCAAAGCACTAGACAAGCCCGTGGGCAAGAGCTGCAGCTGTTAGGAAAAATACGTCAACTGCTGTGTGGAAATTGCGGGCGCCCGTTGGCGAGATTGCTAAATGCTGCCACCGTTCTGTCGCCCTTGGCAGCAGTTCTCGAAAAACACCACAAAGAGCCACGAGACCGACCAGAGAACGTGCGAGACCAAAATGTGGCACGTTGCAGTATGCAAGGGCCCAGCCGTGAGCAGTTAACAGAGGGAACTAAATGAACTAGATTTACCTTTCATGTTGTATACACAACAGTACTGCTGCACATAGTGTCGACATAAACATGCAAAAAGTTTGCTGGCTGTAGGAGAGTTGCATGCGCAACCGTCGGGAAAAAAGTGGTGAATAGCCAATCAGCCGACCGGATAATGAAGGTCCCGAAAGCGGGATAATATGCACAAAGCAAAAAATCATCCGATGCTGCCATGATCAACAAAATCTAACCTTGCTTGCCATCCTTCGTCACGCGGTCGGCTGCGAGATCTTTCGCGAACTGCTCGTTGTAATGTTTGAAAGCAGCGTTGATCATGTCGGTCAGCAACGGATGTGCCTCGTCCGCAGTAGCCTGTCTCACTGCGATCCTGCTTGATAACGGGGGAGGAGCGGTTGGATTCTTCATTGACGCCACCCGTGCAGAAGTTACTCCGAAAACTGCAGCTCCTGTACGTACGCTCGATTTCAGGCGCATCTGTGTGTCTGTGTGCTGTGTTGAGGTCGCCGACGATGGTGTCAACGTGTGGTGAATGTGAAGTGGTGAAGTGGTGCATCATGCATCATCTAATCCGCGCCGAACGCCCAAAACAATAATACCATTGGCGTTGCCCCCAATTTCTTACAGTCCTGCGAGCGAGAGATAACCGCACGTCGAGACATCTAGACAGCGCAAGCAAACACCGACTACAGCACACCGCCCCGTTGCGCCAACAAGCAGCACATACGAACTCAAACCTCGTTGGTTGATAAATATCTCTTTGGTGGGGTGAACCACTCCCTGCATAGCGGCGGGTGCGGGTGGCGTGTGCCACCTTGAGAGAGGTGGTGCCGGAGCGCGTGTCACATGTTTCCGTCCTGGCGAGGAGTCTTGCTCAGCAGTCTGTGCGTCCGGAAGTTGTCGGCCTTCGCAGCCGCGCCGCTGCTGCCGCGTCGCGGTAGATTCGGTGGCACCCGTAGCCAGAGTACAAGCAGAGCCGCGATGTCATCCGGTGAGGGATGCCCTAAGCCAATCGTGTGGACCATTGCGGGATCGGATTCGGGAGGTGGCGCAGGCATCCAGGCGGACCTGCACGCGATGCACAGCCTTGGCGTGCATGGCTGCAGCGTCATTACGGCGATGACAGGTGTGTTTGAACAATGGGCAGGAAGGAAAAGAGACTGCCCCATGGTGCATAGAGGCTGTGTTGTTGCCTATGTGCATCTCGCAACACATTTTCTCTACAGCTGTATCATCACCTAGGTGTTACTGTGCTCGTCATGTAGGCTCTTACAGCGTTGTTGTTGTTATTGTGTTCACATTAGAGGGAATCCACGTGTTGTTGAAATAACGTGAAAGATTGACATTTCAGGAAGTTTTGACGTGAAGAGGTTGCGCCGCTTTTTTGGGGGCAAACTCTGACGGCGAAATTTTTGTGAGGAAGCGTCAAAATTAAATTTCACCCAAACTTAAAACGACGCGAAAAGATTGACGCTTCAAACATCGCCAGACTGTGGCTCACACACGCTTGCTCTGCTGCGGTCTGCTGTGCGCGGTCAGCAGCGAACACATTGGCCATGCCTATACTGATTGCTCCTAGCGGTCCTGCACCCACGCGTCTCGGCAGTTCTCACGGCGGCCAAGTGGCCAGACGCGCGTGTTCGGCGCGCGCGTTCGGTAGATGCGCCGTCGCGATTGCGCACGGGCTTTCAGCAGCAAAAAGGGGCATAGGCAGGGGAGTGATTGGGGGAGTCTCGCCCTCGAAGGCAGCACATGGAGAGGAGTAAGGGAGGGTACACGGACTTTGCCAGTCAGTAGGTGCATTTCGCCCGCCCCCTCACGGGGTTCGGTGCTCTGCTGCCGCAGTGACATCGGTATATACACAGCAGTGCAGCGAGCAGCTGCCTTACTCATCAGCAACGAACGGCAGTTTGACGCCTGGGAAGTCGCAGTTTGACGCCTGGGAAAAGTCGCCGCGGCAAAGGAGGGAAGGTCGGCGGGATGAGGCGAAGGGGTACACCTAGTCTCCTGGGAGCCTGGGGGTGTGAGTCTTCGCTTCGGAATGTCGACCCTGGGGGGCAGGCCGAACCAACCTTGAACTCTACCTCCACCATTTTTTTTTTTTCACCTCTCACGTGTCAACGGGCACACGCGGTGCGAATTTTTGATTTTTTTCCCGTCAAAACCCTCAACCGTCACTTTATGTTGGCGTCAATCCTCAAAGGTCAAAATTCCGCGTCAATCCATAGTGGATACCCTATATTAAAAACCGTTCCGATCTCTCTCTACCCAGTACAGTAGGTGGCCCGATATAGTGGCATACAGGGGCAAGACCAAATGATGCCACTATTCGGGGCAGTGCCACTATTCGATTATAAGTGGCACTATTGCCACTGTTGACAGTGGCAATAGTGCCACTATATCGAGTGAGAAGCTGTGAAGTTCACGACATCGGCAGCGGTTCATTGTTCTACCCTCACATGCGCTGTTACATGCGGGTACAGTCGTGTACTGCCGCACCCCTCGTGGTTGAGCACTTGTGTGCAGCAGTATCCGCATGAAACACATGAAATGACACTTGGTTATCCAAGGGTCGCCGAGCCTTCTGCGGTCAAAACCTATTTTTCATTTTTCAGTGCAGGCAGACCACCGAACCCACGCCCAGACGTACTACTGTAGGAGGCACATCATTTATGTTTTGTCCGGCGGGCTATGTAACATGGGCTTCAACACACTTAGAAGAAATGACAACTGAAGCAACAAAGCTTCTTCGTTTTCGCGGCGGCGCCATCTCCGACAAGTCCCGAGTTGGGGGAGGCGCTTAGGCTGATTCGAGGAGTCGGGTGTCTTTTGCTTCTTGGCGATGCACGGGTTGCAGACGCGGTGTATTTCTCTGCCGCCCTCCTCCTCTGGTTCACCACATATACCATGAAGCCGGCCACCGCAGCCGAGGCGACATGTGTTCCCGTCTTCTCTCCCAGTGGTCGGTGTGGGAGTTTACACAGTTCTAGGTCCGCGCAGGCTGGCATGATACGTGTGGCGCCCAATGCTGAGGGTGGTGTGGGCAGGCGTGGTCCAGCAGTAGTGGGGGGCCGCTGTTAGGAATTGCCACTATTGGGTGTGTGAGATGGCCAATATGCCACTATTGAGGGCCCCGTCCTCAATAGTGGGAAAGTGCCACTATATCGGGTTGAGATTTTGCCAGGAGATTTTCATGCCACTACCGTATATGACACAAGATAACACACCCCCTGGACCGATTTTCAAAGCTCGATTACTCCACGACGAAGAGGATGCATAAATGAAACAATACGTTTCGAACAGCTCTCGACGAGACGGTTCCAACGCCGCCGTTTTCGGCGCTGTGACTCTTCCTGCTGTTGAGAAATCGAGCTTTGAAAATCGGCCAAGGGGGTGTGTTATCTTGTGTCATATATGGTATATCGGGCATTTCACTATTCAGGTTGCCACTATATCGGGCCACCTACTGTACCTTCATATGTCCGTACTGATCCAACACTTGACGCGGTCGATTCCCGTGGTCACAGGCTAACTTACCCTGAAAAGGTACACTCAAATAAACTGGCCTCTAGGGGTCCACAAGTCAATAGAAATCAACGACAGATATTCTGGAGTCCTCCGCTCCCTCTGCGCGCTATGCGAGATAACAACTGAGACTGGGAGTCCGCATCACGGGCCAGAGAGAAAGAGGTACACTCCCTTAGTTCAATCGTGGTACTTCACGACGCAAGGAGAGACAAGATCATCTGACACAGAAAAAGAGAGAAGAAAGAGACAAAAGAGAAACAGAGAAAAATAAAATGGAAACAGGAAGGAAAGAGAAAAAGAGACAGAATCGAGGACAAAAAGGGACCAGGACGAAAGTAACAAGAAATAAGAATCAGAAAAAGGCACACGGTGGGGAGACCACTAACGTACGCCATGCGCATGCGATCGAGCAACAGATCCTGTTTTGTATAACGAGTGCCTTCGTTGCCTCGAAGAAATTACGTGCCCGTAGACTCTAAGTCATGTAAACGCATACGCGAGCGACAGACCTTGTCTTTTTAAGACGAGTGTTTTTTGTCGCCATGAAGGAGACGAATGTCGCGGTACGAGTGTCGCGTTACCGTACGAAATCACCGTTTTTGACTACTTCGTAACGAACGCATCTCAGCGTCAATCCTTGGTGGACGCGGGGGCGCCCATTTGTCACCGGAGGAGGCGGTCCTGCGTACTTCGGTGTCGCAAGGCCTGCACATTGAGTAAATACCCCTGCAGCTATGTACGGGCTTGTATGCATGGACGCCTTTAAACTTGTCACCTTGTTGTTCCAGAGGTGTCCAGCACAGACACACGTATAAGTTAGTGGTTTCCTGCGACAGACAAACTTACCCGTTTGTTTCTGCCGGACAGGGAGGGCTGCTTGACGAACCTCTTGACATCCCGTCCCGCGCTCTCGTCATGTCGCGGCGACGCAACGCACAACCATGACTTCACACGCAGCACAGAACAGCCACGCCGTGACCCACGTGGAGTACGCCTCGGTGGAGATGATCCAGGCCACGATCGACGCGCTGCAGTCGGACCTCCCGCCTGCCGCGGTGAAGCTGGGGATGATGGGGACGGACGCCGTGGTGTCGGTGGTCGGGGCGTTTCTCGAAGGATACAAGGGAAACGTGGTGTGTGACCCCGTCATGGTCTCGACGAGGTGAGTGGTGGTGTTGCATGTTTCGGGGGCATGCTGCTGTGGCCAGAAAACGTTAGGTTGTGGGTGAAATTTCTCCTGGCCATCGGTGACAACGAGGAACTTTGTTTGTGCCGGCTGGCCGGCGGCGAGGAGAAGGTGAAACACTTCCCCCCGTCCTCCTCGTCGTCATGGGGCAGTTTGTGTAGCAGCAGTTTCTTTCTTTAGCGTGCACCCTCATGCGGGACACCGTGCGAACAACGCCGGGCGATTTTGTGCGAATTGCGAGACGGAGACCCCTATCCCCTCCCCCCTTGTCAAACGACACCGAAAACTTTTGCGTGGCTTCACAGTGGATCTCGACTTCTGCCGGAAGGCGCCGAGGCGCTGATGAAGGAGCGCGTGTTCCCTCGAGCGACGATGATCACGCCCAACCTCATCGAGGCCGAGGTGCTCCTAGGGCGGAGCCTGCGGACGCCCGCCGACGTGGAAGCCGGCGCCGCCTCCCTGCTGGCCTCTTCCGCCGCGGGGGGCGTGCTGATCAAGGGAGGGCACTCGGAGGACGAGCGGGAGCCGGGAGGCGCGGACAGACCATCGGCTCGGCAGCGGTACTCTCAGGACTACTGGACGGACGGCACCCCCGGGGGAAGCTTCTGGCTCACGACCCCCCGGGTCGACAGCGACGACACCCACGGGACCGGGTGCACGCTGTCCTCTGCGGCGGCGGCGTGCCTCGCCAAGGGTTTGGACCCCGCGGACTCCGTGGTCCTCGCCAAGGCCTACGTCACGCAGGGCATCCGCGTGGCGCGGCGCTTCGGGAAGGGCCCGGGCCCGGTGGCGCACACGGGGTGGCCCTCGCGGGCGGACTGCTTCCCGTGGGTCACAGCGACCGCCGAGGGGGGCGCGGGGGGTCGGCCCGAGGCGTTTCCGAAGTGTCACGATGACTGGGGGCTGTATCCGGTGGTGGAGACGGCGGAGTGGTGAGAGATTTTCTTTGTCCAAAGGACCGCGAGAGTGACGGTGTTGGGACAAATAGGGAGGTTGGAGGTTGAGCTTGGGGTGGTGTTTCAGTGCTTGATGTGCTAGATGGATGTATGACTGCGGTTGCAAGCCGGGCGATTGACTCTCGTTGGGTGCACCGCTTGTGTTCGTGTTTTTCGTCTATTTTTTTGTTGGGTGGCCCCAAGACGTTGCTGGCCGCAGCCGCTGCAACGTAAGGGCTGCTCTGTGCATGCCGTGTCATGCCGAGCCCATTTAATCGCCCCGATTGGGTTGAGAACACTTCTTTCCCCCCTCGAGTATACTTGACCGGGCTTCCCCACCGTTTCCCTCTCCTTTCCCGCGCGAACTTCCTGCCCAACAAAAAAGGGTCGAAAAGCTGCTATCCCTCGGGGTGCGGGACATCCAGCTGCGAGTGAAGGGAGCCTCCCCCGAGGCCCTCGACGCCGAGGTAGCCAGAGCAGCCCAGGCGTGCCGGGACTCCGCCGCGGGGGCCGGCGGGGGCGGGGGGAGGCTGTGGGTCAACGACTTCTGGCGGGCGGCCGTCAGGCACGGCGCGTACGGGGTCCACCTCGGGCAGGAGGACCTCGAAGCCGGCGGCGGGGAGGCCCTGTCGGCGATCTCGAAGGCCGGGCTGCGGCTCGGGCTCAGCACCCACTCATACCTGGAGCTGGCGAGGGCGACCGCCGTCCGGCCGAGCTACATCTCCCTGGGCCCCGTGTTCGAGACGACCTCGAAGAAGGTGGCGTTCTCTCCCAGGGGCGCGGTGCTGGTCGGCGCGTGGAGGGCGCTCGTGGACGTCCCGCTGATCGCCATCGGGGGCATCAGTCTCGAGAGAGCGCCGGAGGTGTGTGTGACGGGGGGCAGGAGGGATTGATGGGAGGGGAGACGGGGCGAATGTTTTTTTTTTTTTCTGTTGTTGTTGTTGTTGTTGTTGTTGTTGTTGTTGTTGTTGTTGTTGCGACAAGCCTTATTTTCTGTGTTTTTGTGCGTGTGTTTTGCTGATCAATCTGCCTGGCCGAAAGGCGAATGAGAGTTGAAGCACTGATGAAACGCAGCTGCGCCGATGCTCATCCCATCCTTCTGTTTCGTTGCTTTGGATATTGCTTTTCGAACCCAATACCCGTCCTTGGTCCTTTTCGAGCGTGGTCAATTCTTTTGTTTATGCTTCTCGCTTTATTCTTTCGTGCCAGAAACGAGTTTGAGATCGGTAAGCCTTTCGGTGTCTTGAGGACACCGCAGGATGCTCTGCAAAATCCTCGACAACCCCTCGAGCGTTGATGAAATATAGCGCCGAAAATTCATGTGGTTCTGGGCGACTGACTTGATGGTTTCCGTTCGCTGTCGTTCTCGTCTCCGTTCCGTTGTGGCTGGCCTCTTTTGCATCGCGACCAAACAGGTGCTTGAGGCCGGTGCCGATAGCATTGCCGTTATTTCGGCCATCACCAAAGCGGACGACGTCGAGGAGGCGGTGCGACAATGGGACACTGCCTTCGAAGCCAGAAGAAGACCTTTATCACCCTCACCCTCGTCATAGAGGATGGATATCGGAGGTCGCTCACCCTTTGTCGAAGGGTCTTCTTTGATCGCAGATGGCTCTTCGTCGCTTCGACTATTTAGCGAACAGGCATGCTGGAAGAGCAGCGACTAGGCAAATTCTGCGACGCATGCGCAGCAGCTATTATTGAGTTTGCTGTAAGCGTCAGGGTTCAGTGATTTCGGCGTCAGGAGTGGCACAGGCTCTTGCGTAAGTATCGCGCGTGGTTTTTAGCAAACAATGCCATGCAAGGGTGGGGAGCGGAAGGTCTCTTCAATCGCGATGGCTTTGTGTCGCGATTTGTATAAGCGACGTTCGGTGAGCATCCACTCTCATGCCCTCAATCGTTGTGGCATGCTGGGCAGGTCGTTGGGGGGGTTCACTTTTTACACCCCCCCCACAAGGCGGGTATCCATGGATCCTCTACTACTACCATGGACAACCAGCAGCAACACAATCTAAAAACGGCGTAGGTTTTAGTTCTAATTGTTGTTTACATGTCCCTCTTCGATCAACCGTTGCTCACGGCAGTATTCTCCCTGCAACTCAACCGAGGTATTGGTACACGAAGTGCTCCGATTCGGGGTCAAAGGGAAAAATCCTAGGCCTTTGTCTTGTACACATAGCGCGCGAAGGACTCAACAATTCCTCCCCTCAAGGGTACTCACGATGTACGTGTAGAAACTACATCGTCTCTTCACCTATCACGAAATGACCGCGGGAAAAAATACCTCACTTTCCAATGGGACCTCACTTATGTACGAATACCACATCCTCATCATCAGCGAAAAGTACTAGTGCCTGACGCAATAAGCTTTTTTCTTATATTTTCTGCCCGTTCTTTCTGAAAGCCATAAGCTCAAAAACACGAGTTCTGCCACCCTGTTGTGTCACTTTTTACAAAATCTGTACCAGTTCTGCCACTTTTTTGTCGCCTGTTTTATGCACGTTTCGTCGATTATTGCCTCACGTATGTATACCATTTTTTGTGCGGGTCTGCCTGCATGTGCACCAGTGCACTCGTTTCAGTTAAATGGGTACCAGTTTAAGCTGAGAATGGTGTTTCATTGGTGCGTTTAGACGTGAACCTGGGCATCTCTCATCTCTCCCTATCTCGAGCTCGGCTTTTCACCCACCCTGGGCACAATGTAGAGGTCTAAAGGCGGCGTAGTCCACTTTTATGCGACCTGTTGCTTGTTATGCCACCACTTATGCCCAAAATCGAAACTACCAATGCTACTTTCGGCTTATGGCTTTTCTCATGCCACTTGGAGCCATTTATGACACAAGAATGGTTTGCTAATTGCGTCAGGTCCTAAAAAGTACTCTGGAAGTATACAATATCTACACCCTGCAAGCAACATCATGCATGCGCAGAAGGGTTACGTGTGAGGAGGATTCAACGAGTCTGCATAAGACTGAACTTCAACGGGATGGTGGCGCTAAATTGATGTATGTTGCGAACGGCACGATGTACCAAGTAGTATTCTACGGAGTGCCGGCCCTAGCTGTTGAAATAGTAGTCTACGCAGCAAAATTGATTAAGCAAACATGTGGGATAAAGTATTCGATCCGTGCTTCGGGGTTAGGGTTAGGTTAGGGATGCGGTCCGGTCCTGTTGAATAACATTTGACCCAACACGACGATTGCCCGAGTTCACGAGAAAATTGACGCAAGAGATTGGGCTCGGCCGCCACACCTTCTCCAATACGGTGCCTGTGGCGCGCTCAGTTCAAGACGCGTAAGGCTTTAAGCTTTAAGTCATGCTGAAAATTGCGGTGAAAATAGGTGAACTTGTAGTCTAATGGCAACGGCTTGTGGGGGCCTTCAACTTTGATTGGCCAGCGAGGCGGCGCATCATCGTATTACCGAAAAAAAAATGTTCAACGTGTCACTTGTACACTCAGTCACCAAGTCACTCTTAGCGCTCGTCCTTCAGCCCTGCTGCACACCAGATACACTCGCGCCCAGCAGCGTACGACGGTGATCGTGCGACCGTGTTTCCTAGGAAACGCTGCCTCCGCGCTGTTCAGCGACCTGGTCGTCTTCCCATTCTTTTCCATCCACGCATACATATATCAGCAGATGGCTCCTGTCGCTGCTGTGATGCTCTCAGCTGCGGCTGTGGCGGTGCCAATGGCGGGCGCCTTCGTCGTAAACCCTACAACAAGGTCGGCGTTCACCAGGCAAAGTTTGGGAGCGATGCGAGGTGGGTGGTGTGCAATTTGCTGCCGCGTGTCTGTGGTTGTTTGTGTTGGTGTGGAAAAAGAGAAGCTTCCGTTGGCAGCATGTGATGAGAGTTGCCGGAACCGTGCATTCGCATACTGCTGTAGAAAGCCTGTGGCAGCCCTGCAGATGTGACAGATCTTCCGGTTTGTCAAGGGGGAAGACGCAGGAGCATTTACGACCACGTGGTCAGCATTGGCAATCTCCTAGTTACAACCGCTCTACCCACTCCATTCACCAACTATGGTTTACGGTAACGGCGGAGCTGCTGAATTGTTGCACGTAAAAGGAGGTACAGACTGCAATACTGCAATGTTGCAGTGGGCGACAGGCGTTGCAGAACCCTGCTGGCGCCTCTGCGGCTTCTTTGATTCGGCCAACGGCCACCTTCTCTCTACGCTCTACTACTGCACGCGCTTTCTCAAGATTGCTGTCTCGTCCCTTGCTGATGTCGTGTAGATCTCCGCTCTTTCGTCGTCAAGCGTACATAGCGCGTATGCATACGACGCCAACATTCTCAGTAACACCCCCTCGTCAGACTCATTAAATATGTTCTCCTGAAAATAGCGAAGTAAGGTACGGTATTTCGCATCCCGCCGGGCGTCTCCTACCTGTGTTCAACTTCAATCGTGTCGCCGTCGAGTCAGCTATAGAAATGCAGGAGCCGATAGACGGGAACGAGCAGAATGGATCCCTCTCGAGGCCGAACACCGCTTCTCTTCAGAGACTAAGTGGTTGAGAAACCGGGAACATTCTGGCGCTTCCTTCCCACTTTTACAGTTGGGAAGTCTTTTCTGGTCTTTACAACGCACATCCCCCTCTAGTGCACGCGAAGGCGGTACTACTGCTGTAGCCATTGTTCTTGGTGCCTCAATTGAGCAGCGTTCAACTCTTGTTCTCTTAGTACGGGGAATGCCTTTCGCGGGCTTGATTTCGGCGCCACTACCATTCATTCCCGGTAACTCAAATGTTTCGTATTCATCCATTCTTTGTTCCAAAAGATGGTGTCGTTTCATGTGTACTCCTGTCCACTCTCCCTGCCCGTGAACAACCGTTCCTCCTCCGCGCAGCGCGCTCCCCCTACCCTACTAGCACCAGCAACAGCTGTCGACAGCAGACTCTGCGCAGGCACACGCACGCCAACCTGCGGTGCACGGCCACATCAACCGCGGAGGGGAGCACCGCCGCCACGGCAGCAGTGGCGGCCGACCAGCACGCGCTGGACCCCACTCTCCACGAGGAGGACGCCGCCGAGGTTGACCACTTCCGGGATATCGCGTACCCGCAGAACAAGGCGCGATGGAAGAAGAACACGAAGCAGGTAAATACTGCTGTGTGTCGAGTAATCAAAAGGTAGGCGGTTGTACCCTTGCTCGGCTGCTGTTGCGCTACTCCCCCACCCGTGTCTCGGTTTCACGCTTGTGCGACGTAGCCTGGGCCGGCGAGAACCCGGCGCATCACTCCCGGCCCGGCGTTGTAGGGGTGCCGAGGTCAATGGCCGAACGACGATGGCATGCGCTTACATGAGTACACCCCCCTCCCCGCATCTGTTATTCCCTGCTGTCATTGCCTTATCCCACCCCTCTCGTCCGTCCAACCAGAGCGTTCAGTACCACCTTCTTCCCCGACACCCCATCGCCTCTTGTCCCTTGGCCGGCCTGCCTGCCCGCCCGCCTGCCTGCCTGCCTGCCTGCCTGGGTTGACGCGTCCCCCCCCCCCCCCTATTTTGTTTGCTTTGGCTTTCCGTCGTGTCCGAGAACCGCAGATCGCCACCTTGGGCCCGGCGTCCTGCACGGAGGAGCAGATCGAGGCTCTCTTCCTCGCCGGCGTGGATGTCTTCCGACTAAACTTTTCGCACGGCGACCACGACCAGAAGGCCGAGGTGACAAGCCTAGCAAAAACGCGTACGCTCTCTGCCCTTTTTGCTTATGCTTTCAGGACTTTAGCTGACCTTGATGTTGGTCTGTGCTTTGGTCACGAGTCGAGGTCTGCAGATGGGGGGGGGGGGAGTAGGATGCCTCGGGATGGGCGGTCATTTCTAGCGTGGTGTAGCCTGTAGCACAAGCTCTTCGCGGCGCGGTGCAGATGTGGTTCTTCTCAACGTTGTTTTTTTGAGTCCGAGACCGTATGGTATGGATTGGTTGAGGGGAGAAGACAGCGAGGTGCTTCTATTGGCTGACTCCCAGACACGACCCCAAGGCTGGCTGTACTGGAATCCTCACTAATTTTGCCCCGAGTAGTCTAACGTAGGATTGCGTGGTTTTGCTTCACCAGAGGGGAGGAGGTTCACGATGCCTCTAAGTAAACCTAATGGTGCAACGCGTCTAGACGAAGATACCAGCAGCAGTAGTGATCCGCCAGGTCGATTTCACGCACGCACGCATAAGCACGCCTCCTTGCTGTCTTTCTCATCGACAAAGTTGTCGTCATTACTACACGCCCCCACCCCCCCTCCTCTGCGTCTGTCTGTCGCTCACCCAACCGCCGCCGGCGGTGTTACAGTTGGTGTCCATCATCCGGGTCATCGAGGCGAAGTATAAGCACCCCATCTGCATCCTCGCGGATCTCCAGGGGCCCAAGCTCCGCGTCGGGACATTCGAACACGATACGGTAAGTGCGCGAAGTCTTCGTGCCAAGGCCGTTCCTCTGTTGTTGAGTTAGCTGTTCACCCCAGTGTTTTCATCTTTCACATATCTGCAGCGTCGGTAATGGCGTACCACTACAAGTATACCGTATATGACACAAGATAACACACCCCCTGGACCGATTTTCAAAGCTCGATTACTCCACGACGAAGAAGATGCATAAATGAAACAATACGTTTTCGAGCAGCTCTCGACGAGACGGTTCCAACGCCGCCGTTTTCGGCGCTGTGACTCTTCCTGCTGTTGAGAAATCGAGCTTTGAAAATCGGCCAAAGGGGGTGTGTTATCTTGTGTCATATACGGTATATGGCTGTAGGTAAATGAATAATCTTACGCCCACAGCGGCTGAAATGACACAGCACCATTTCGGATGCAAGGTAGGGGCACGAAACCGTACTTGGGAAGGCGGTATATTATGTCAACCGTGATGTTCACCGACAGATTAGCAGTAAGGGTAGCACATCATCCTCTTGGGTGAAGGTTGGGTGGGGGGGGGGGCGTACTCTTATGTTTGCGTGTCGTAGCGGTTAGACCGTTGACGACTTGTCCTCGAGAGGACGGAGCATTGTTCCCACAGGACCGATCGCCGATGGCCAATCATCCCTTCCTACTTTGCCAAAGGCAGCTCAACAATGTCTTCCGTAGCCCCTGTATCCTATCGATATCACTTCCCGTGTTTTCAACCCACTTCTTATGTCCCAGTACAGCGTCTTCTCCTGGCTTTTCCATGCCTCCAACATCTCCTTGTGTCTTCCTTTTACTTTTCCCCAGCTCAGTCATGCATGTACATTTCCCTCTCCTTCTTGCACAACGGACATTCCGCAACTACATGAACCCGGTCTTCGCACTCGGAGCCGCATTCACGTTTGAAGTTGTCTTCGCCGTCCACCTTCCTAAAGCTTCGTCTACGTTCTCGAAGGACAAGATTGGATCCCCAGTTCTGCCTTGACGGCTGCATTACTTGTGCGCTTGGAGCATCCTAGGATGGTTTCGGCTGCGTTCATGTGCGCCGCCTCAAGTTCTTTTGACGATCTTTTCCTTTCTCCTCCGGCGTACTCTTGCGAGGATGGGGAAGATGTTTTGCGGTGGTTCGAACCCGCCCGAAACCGTTTCTTTTTTTTTTCCCGCACGTATGACCGACCAATCCAACACGCCACTTTTGGACAAAGTGGAGAAGTCGCCACCCATCCATATTACCCCCCCCGTCTTGCTTCCTCAAAACATACACACACACACACACAAGAAATGTCCACCTTCGCCTAAATATGTTGCATGCACGGACGCACCGCTTCGCACCTCCTTTTTTGTGCGACGATGACGCTATTATCTCCATAGGTGAACCTGGTGAACGGCCAGATGTTCCGGTTCGACATGGACGACGAGCCCGGAGACGCTGCCCGCGTCAAGCTCCCCCACAAGGAGATCATCGACACCCTCCAGGAGGTGAGTTGATGTACTTTCGGTCAGAACCACCTGACAGACGCGGTTGTTTTCTTTTGGGGGGGGCAGGGAGGGGATGCTCCGTCTCGTCTTTGCTTCGCGGGAGCGTTACCTCGCCCGATGCATACACGACAGGGGTGGGGTGGGGTGGGGCGGGGGGAAGGGGGGGATGTTTTGCTGGAGAGCATCATCTATCGGTCGCGGAAGTACCTGTTGATTTTTGAATATTTGTTTGTCGAGAACGGTGTGGGTATGAACATAGTCGGCGGACCTATACCAGGGCTCTCGTCACCATTTTACATTTTTTGGGCTCGTTGGGCGACGAAAATGCACCCGCCGCCCGTGTCTAAAACCTGTCGCCAATCGACCACCGCGCCGCCACACAACCAAAACCGAAAAAATGGGTTGGAAACTGGCAACTGAAGACGTGACCACGGTTGGCAGCAACAACCACTCTAGCAACCACGTAGCAGCAACAACAACAACGTAACAATATCTCGTCTTGCTTGTATCAGGGCGATTCTTTCCTCAACTATTACAACAACAGCGTAAGAACACGTGCTCTTGCTTGTGTCTTGGCGATTTTCTCCTCAACAAAAAGGCAACAACACGTTTGTCTTGCTTGTATAGTAGCGATTTTCTCCTCAGTAACAACACATTGACTGGTCTTGGCTGCTGTTTGTATCAGGGCGATTCTCTCCTCTTGGATGACGGCAAGCTGCGAATGACGGTGGTCGAGAGCGGGGAAGGCTACGTGATCTGCAGGGTCGACGTGGGCGGCAAGCTGTCCAACAAGAAGGGCGTGAACACCCCCACGGTCCGCCTGCCGATCTCGGCCATGACCCCCAAGGTGATGGATCGGTCGATGTCGATCGATACGTGAAAATATTTTTCTCCCTCTTTTGTCTGTTGCTCTCTCTCTCTCTATTGCTCTCTCTCTCTATGTTTCTCTCTCTCTCCGTCTCTCTCTCGTCTGTCTCGTCTCTCGTTCTTGTGTGAAATATCCCGGGTCGTTTGCCATCAGAAAAGTCGCATGTACACGTCATCGCGACGCCCATCAAATTTTCAAGAGCTGGAATCGTGCTCGATAGACAGACGTTGGGGAGGAGATATATGTGACCCTTGGTTGAGGTCACCTCCACACTTGCCCACAGCTGCAGACCGGGGTTGGTGTTGATTGGGGGAGATTTCTTGATCTCCCCCTTGGTTGTGTACTGTATGTATACGTGAACGTGTGATGGTGTTGTTCGACAAAGGACACTTTATACTAGTCGTCTGGTGAGAGTGAGTGCTATGTTGTTTGTCTCGGAGATGACTGATTATGTCCAGGCCACTGAGATTGACACGCAGTAGGCGTCGGCTTGCACTTGTAAATATACTGCTGGTGGAGGCATTTTTAGACAAAATATATTGTACGTATGTACGAACAAAGAAACACTACTTGTACCCTTTCGAGGTATTTGTTAACGAGGCCCTTAACCACGACCCCAGCGCTGATAAGAACTGTTAATATTTCTAAAACCTACCACTGGTTTCTTTTCGTTGCATACCTTGTAGTGGCCGTCTTGTGTCGTCGACTTTGGTTTCTCCGTGTGTTGCGTGGGAAGGAAAACAAAAATGGTTTTGCAACACGAATGAGCAACAAGTGATGGAGTGGTCAGTAATCACCCGGCTGCTTCCTCCTGGTGCTGTGTCTGTCTTCGCATGACACGTATGCAGCGTACTTGGCGCCTGTGTCTTGCTTGCCCCGGCTGTAGATACCTCACTACCCTCATTAGGTATATGTTCTTGTAGAAACTCAGTGGAAACTTGCTGCATCCACCACTGCCAGGTGCGCAATTCTTTTCTATTTTCCCGTTTTTATCCCTCCTTCTCTCCCCCCGTGTCCCTTCATCCTCCCTCTGTTGTTGTTCTGTTCTATTCTCCTCTGCTCTCTGCTCTGCTCTTTTCTGTTCTGTTCTGTTCTGTTCTGTTCTGCAGGACCGCGCCGACCTAGACTTTGCCCTGGTCGTTCCAGGCGGCGTTGATGTGGTGGCCCTGTCCTTCGTGCAGAGGGCGGCCGACGTGGAGGAGCTCAAGGACATCGTGCAGGGGAGGTGCCGGGTGAGTACATAAAAGTGTGCTGCGTGTGTATACGCTATACGCTACAAGAGTGGTGGGTGTTTTGTTTTGAGTGAAATATCGTAGTGCTATGGGTGCGTGTGCGTGTACACTACAATTATATAAGCCCACCGTGCCCGCAACCAGCTATTTTTTTTGCCCTTTTCTTCGGGTCGCAACTTTGGCTTACCGATGATCCCTCTCCACCCACTCCAGCAACAGCGATGACAAAGGTATCTGCCACGAGCTGTGTGTATCGTCCGTCTTTTGTGGTGGTTGATACTGGTACAGACCAGGAGGCTAAAGGACGCTCAGAATTTGTGAGCGCGAGAGTCGTTGACAAGAGAGAAACATGACCCGCCGCGTCTGCAGGCAACTTTTTTTGCTCTTTTGCCCTTGTCGCGAGTTTGGTTCACCGATGATCCCTCGCCCCCACTGAAGCAATAGCAATGACAAAGGTATCCGCCACGAGCTGTGTGTATGATTCGTCTTGTGTGGGGTGGTGGTCTGAGGCTATAGGACGCCCAGAAGTTGGGTTCACAAAAGTTGACGGTATACATACGAAAAATGACCCACCGCTGCTGCGTCCAGGCTCTCTCGGCTTGTTTGCCGCACACATCGGGTTGTCCACCTGGTCCAGCCGAATTAAAAAAACAACGGCTGCCGCCGATGCTGCCGACTCTGTACCAGACACATGACACATTTCGTGTGACCACCGTTAGAGTTTGCGGGGATCAACCGTCGAGAAATTCAAGTTTGTAGGTAAGCGTCATGGGGTTGTGACCAGAAAAGGACAACCTTGTTTGGCGCCCCCAATCGACCCAAAAGTTGCCAAAAAAAGACAGCGTGGGGTGTCCAAAAAGGGTTGTCTTTTTGGCGCGGTCCTTCTTTGCTAAAAATGAACTATTGAGAAGTTTTTTTTTTGCCAGTTTTCCCTTTCTGGGAAACAAAATATCGCCAAAAAAGAGAAACCGCAAAAAACGGCCTCAGTCGTGCCGTTTTTTTTTTGTTAGACGCAGTGGACGGGAGAGGTAGCTCGTGTCCGTCTGTCCTATCCTGTGCTCTTCTCTTCTTTTCTCATTCTTGAGCTGTTTATCTTTTTTTTTTTTCGATTATTGTGTGTTTTTCATTGGCGGCTGCGTTTGGCTCCTGCTGACTGTGCGTTCGTTGCTCGCGTTTTGGATCAAAACCTGTTGGTGACTTTCCTGCGTGTCTGGCCACTCTTGACTCTTGTGTGGTCGTCTGTTGTTGCCGGCCGCGACGACCGCTGCAGGTGTTTGTGACGTTGTGGAAGAGTCAGTACGAACGTTTTCATACACCACGGTGAATACCACCGGTCGCCGTCTTGAGTGTTCTTTTTGTTAGTAATTTTCACGGGCGGCGATGGTGTGGACGGCCGCGCGGCGGTGACCGGTGGCGCGGCGGCGAACGGTGTGATCGGCGGCGCACCGGCGGTGAACGGTTGCGCTCCGAAAAGAAACATATCCTACTCTATCTAAAGACGAAAGTAGCGTGCGGGATGAATTGGCCATGTAACGTCTATGTTGCGTTTGTTGACGACAACCCTGCTGTGCTGCCTTCGCTGCTGCTGCTGCTGCTGCTTCTGCACCTTGTGCGGGCCCGATGGCCGTGCCGCGTTTGCCGCGCAGGTGATGGCGAAGATCGAGAAGCCGCAGGCGGTAGATGACCTGGAGGACATCGTGGCCTTGTGCGACGCCATCATGGTCGCCCGGTGCGTGTGCTTCTGCCGCTTGTTCTGCCTTTGTGGTGGGATGGTGGTGGTCTTATTTGTTGCTACATATATTGCGTCCCCAAAACTGAAAAATAAAAAATACCCAAAACGAAACACATATGCATACATCAGTCGTTTATTCACTCCTGATGAGTTCCAAAGTTTATATTATCGCGATGGATTTCTGGAAGATGTTTGTTCTTGGGCAGGACACAAATACAATACTTCCGAAACGAGTCTCTCTCGACTTTTCTGCACGCGTCGCGCGTTCCCAAATCTAATAGTCAACATCATCATTGAGTCTATTGCGGAGCTAGATTGTTCAAAGGCGAGAGATGTGCATGCTTCCAAACGATCACCAAACGTCAACATCATGGACCGTTCACCCAACACCATGCATCAATTGCACCACCGTCAACGTCCTTATTTTTTTCAAATCTTGTTGTCGTGTTTTATTTTTGTGTTTTTGTCGCTGCAGAGGTGATCTTGGGGTGGAGATGCCTCCGGAGATGGTACCCATCACTCAGAAGCAGATTATCGACTGCTGCAGGCGGCAGGGAAAGCCTGTGATCGTTGCCACGCAGATGCTCGAATCCATGATCGACGTGAGCAGTTGGTGTTCACGGGTTGAGTTGTTGTTATTGGTGGTGGTGGTGGTAGTGGCAGTGGGTGGTGCTATCGTTCGTGTTGCACATTTTGGTGGTGGTGGTGGTGCTGCTGTTGCTGCGATTGTTCCTGACGCACCTTTTTTGTTTTGTTGTTGCTGCTGATGTTGTTGCGGTTGATTGTGATGCTTTATTGTTGCTGTTGCTATTGCTGTTGCTGTTGTTGTTGCTGTTGCCGTTGCTGTTGCTGTTGCCGTTGCCGTTGTTGTTTCATATCGGCAGGGCGATCGCGAATTTACACCTTGCTTCAATCCACCACGCTCTCCGCATCACGTGTACCGTACGCCCTTCACCTTCCGAGCCATCATAAAAACAGTCATGGATCCCCCACCATTGCATGTCCGCTTTTTTTTGTGCCTTCTTTTATGCTTGTGGTGCAGAACCCAACCCCCACCCGCGCTGAAGCATCCGATGTGGCAACAGCAATCTACGACGGTGCTGACGGGATCATGCTTTCGGCCGAGTCCGCCGCGGGCAAGTACCCCCTGGAGAGCGTGCGGATGCAGCAGAAGATCATCACCTCTGTGGAGGTCGACCCGGTAAGACATTGTAGAACATGGGAATGTGAGGGGGGGGGGGGGGTGTACTCATAGTCGTGCATGCCGTAGTCGTTTGACCATTGACCTCGCATCCCTACAAAGCCGGGACGGAGCACGCCGGGTTCTCACCGGACCAGGCTCTCACATCACCAAGCGCGAAGCGCCGTGAGGTATTTGGCGAGTCGCATGAAGGGTGAGCTGCATCCTGCTAAGGGTGTTCGGCATCTTGTGCTTACTTCCTTGCGTACGGATGACAGCTACGTATGACTTAATTTATTTTCTGGTGCTTTCACTTCCAGAGACAGTTGTAAGCACTGTGTAGCTGCCTCGAGGATGCTTGACCATTTTAACACAACGTGGTGCGATCATCCCCCGTTGCGCGGAGTGAGGTTTCTCGACCCCGCACAACATGATCTACTCGACCACCATTATGGTTACCGCCAAAAAAAAACCGAGGTAAAAAAAATAAACGGTAACCTGGTTGCCGAGTTCACTAAGTGAATTGGCTTGTTTTACAACGTCGTTGCCAAGCGACGAAAACCCAATCCCGATGGCAAACACCGAGTGGGGGGCTTGTTTTACAACGTCGTTGCCAAGCGACGAAAACCCAAACCCCGATGGCAAACACCGGGGGGGGCGGCTTGTTTTACAACGTCACTGCCAAGCGACGAAAACCCAACCCCGATGGCAAACACCGGGGGGGGGGGGGGGGGGGTCAGGGGTATTTGGGGGGGGGGGTAATGGTTCTTTT